GTCCCAGCCTGGCCGTTCCCCAGAGCATTTTGTGGCCTCTCCCCACCCTGACCCCCCCGTGTTCCCCCCCAGGAGCCGGGCACCCCATGAAGCCCCATCGCTTGGCACTGACCCACAGCCTGGTCCTGCACTATGGCCTCTACAAGAAGATGATTGTAAGTAGCTCTGCTTCTGGGGGCTGAGAGGAACAACTTCCCCAGCCTGGCTGTGGGGGAGGAGGGGGCTGGGGGAGGGGGCATCTTGGGATTAAGCACCTGGGAAAGGTGCCGGAGAGGTGGGCACTGCCCTGCTTGCTCCAGCCAGGGCCCCTGTGGGAACCACAGAACAGCCCCAGGGTGGAAGGGAACTGACAAGCTCATCTGGCCCAGCCTGCAGTGGGAAAGTGAGCTTAGATGAGATTGTCCTGTTCTGTTGCATCTTGAAAACCTCCAGTGATGGGGACTCTTCCATCTCCTGGGGAGGCTCTTCCAGTGATTGTTTGCACTGTAAAAAATGTCTTTCTTATATCAAGATGAAATCTCTTCTGGTGCAACTCGTACCTTTTGTCCTTTATCATAGAATCCCAGCCTGGTTTGGGTTGGAAGGGACCTTAAAGCTCATCCAGTCCCACCCCCTGCATGGGCAGGGACACCTCCCACCAGCCCAGGCTGCTCCAAGCCCCATCCAACCTGCCCTTCAACACTGCCAGGGATGGGGCAGCCACAGCTTCCCTGGGCAACCTGGGCCAGGCTCTCACCACCTCCAGAGTAAACTTTCTTCCTGAGATCTCATCTCAGTCTCCCCTCTGTTAGCTTGAAGCCATTATTGTCATGTCTCTCTGGCTTCTTGTGGAAAAAGAGCCTCAAGAGGCTCCTGATTCACTTTGGTGCCTTTAGGGGGGGGTCACTAATCCCACCTCATACCTGCTCAGTGATTGACCAGCTCCTCAAAGCCCTTGTGGCCCAACCAGCTGAGCCCAGCCCAGTGCCCTCCAGTGAAAACCTGATCAAACATGTTCAGCATGTAGAGATAATCAAAACAAAATATTAAATTAAAATGTTGAAAGAAATTAACTAATTTTGGGATTGTGAATGTGCCCTGGTGGCCAATAATGTGACCTGGGGGGCATGAAGAAGAGTGTGGGCAGCAGGTCAGGGAGGTTCTCCTGCCCCTCTGCTCTGCCCTGGGGAGGCCTCATCTGGAGAACTGGGTCCAGTTCTGGGCTGCCCAGTTCCTGAAGGACAAGGAGCTGCTGGAGAGCCCAGCACAGGGCCCTGAGATGCTGAGGGGGCTGTGAGGAAAGGCTGGGAGAGCTGGGGCTGTTCAGCTGGAGAGGAGGAGGCTGAGGGGGGATCTGCTCAGGGCTGGGCAATATCTGCAGGGGGTGGCAGGAGGGGGCCCAGAGTCTTCTTGGGGGTGCCCAGTGACAGGAGAAGGGGCAATGGGCACAAACTGGAGCACAGGAGATTTAACCTGAATAGGAGAAAATACTTCTTTCCTGTGAGGGTGCCAGAGCCCTGGGCCAGGCTGCCCAGGGAGGTGGAGGCTTCATCTCTGGGGACATTCCAACCCCACCTGGATGTGTTCCTGTGGGATCTGCTGTAGGTGACCCAGCTCTGGCAGGGGCTTGGACTCAATGATCTCCAGGGGTCCCTTCCAACCCTGGTGACTCTACCAGTGTGTGGTGCCCTCATTTGTAGTGTTTCTGTCACCTGGTGCAAGCAGGACTGAGCTCTGCTCCTCTCCCAGTTATCCTTGTTCTCTTCTGTGCCCAGTTTTGCAGCCCAGAGCAAAGGAAAAGCTCTTGGGAACACAGGGTGAGCAACTTCTTGCCTTGTGAGATGAGATCAAGGCAGGAATGGTAAAATCCTTTAACTATCCTGCCCCTTTGGGGTGGCTTTTGCCACACATATCATGCCACCTACCCCTGCTGTTCCTTGTGGGGCAACTTCTTGTGTCTCCTCTTGGCTTCTCCTCCCTCTCAGAGTGGCAGGATTTGTTTAGAGCTGTTCTGGATCCTTGAGTGGTTTAATTCCTGGGCTGACTGATGTGGTTCCAGGTCTCCTTATCTGATCCAGAACCTGGGGTGTAGCTGCTGCCTATTGTCTCCTCAGCCCCTGATCTGTTTGATGTGCCCTGGGGAACTGCCAGGACCAGGAATGTTCTTCTGGAAGTTGTAGGCTCCAGCTCCAGGCACTGCTGGTTGTATGAACTGTGTGTGTCCTTGTGGTGGCTTCATGGGAATTGCCTCAGGAAAAGCAGGGCAGAGTCCTTCTGTCACAGTCATCATGGTTCATGGGTATGGAATAGGGAGGGGAAAGACAGGCACAAAAGTGTCATTCCTTAGATCCAGGAGGGGTGTTGGGACCCTCCCTCCTTTTAGTGCCTGTGTGTTACTCACCCTGCTGCCCTGTGTGATAGTGTGAGCTGGTCCCCTCCCCTGGGAGCCTGAGATGGATGGCCCAGAGGTGGCTGGAAGGCTGTGCCCTCAGAATGGCTGGAGAACTGGCTCTTGGATTGGTTCTGGCAGTTGTGGGTGGTTGCAAGGAACTGGTGATGGAGTCAGGCTGTGGAGAAGGTGTGAGGAGCTTGTCTCAGGGCTGTGTGCTCACACCTGCAGCACACTGGAGGGATCAACCATCAGCTGGTGAGATCAGGCAGAGCTGTGAGACAGAAACCTGCACATCCCAGTCCTTCTCCAGCTCAGCCAGGCCCTTCTCCAGTCTGTCATCAGCTTCTCAGGCTCACTCATCCCCACCACCTGCAAAACTCTGACCACCTTTGTGCTCTCAAAGACTTGACTAAATAGGAGGACATGGAGCTCCTGGAGAGAGTCAGAGGAGGCCATAAAGGTGATCAGTGGCTGGAGCAGCTCTGCTCTGGAGCCAGGCTGGGAGAGTTGGGGTGTTCAGCCTGGAGAAGAGAAGGCTCCAGGGAGACCTTAGAGCAGCTTCCAGTGCCTGAAGGGGCTCCAGGAAAGCTGGGGAGGGACTTGGGACAAGGGCAGGGAGGGATGGGATGAGGGGGGATGGATGAAAACTGGAAGAGGGGAAATTTAGTTGAGACAGGAGGAGGAAATTCTTTGCTGTGAGGGTGGTGAGAGCCTGGCCCAGGTTGCCCAGGGAAGCTGTGGCTGCCCCATCCCTGGCAGTGTTGAAGGGCAGGTTGGATGGGGCTTGGAGCAGCCTGGGCTGGTGGGAGGTGTTCCTGCCCATGCAGGGGGTGGGACTGGATGATCACCAAGGTCCCTTCCAACCCAAACCATTCCATGATTCTATGACATCCCTCCTAAATGCCAGATCCACACCTGGACCAGGCAGTGGGCAGAGCTTGAAGCTTTGCCACATTTTTTTGTCTCAAAACCCTATTCTTGGGGTTGTCCCTTCTGAGAGACACCAGTGGTGAAGCTGAGAACCACAGAGGAGGCTTCACCTGGAGCAGCCAGTGACCAGCAAAGTTACAACCAAACGAAAGTGGGGATGAGGGGCAGTTGGGACTATGAAAGGTCCTGTTAACTCAGTGTCATGGTTCCACCCTTCTCCTCCCAATCAGAGGCCTTTCCCAGCTTATCCATGGCTGTAGTACACAAGGATGCAGCAGACCAAGGCTTGATGTGGCTGGAAGAGGGAGGCTGGTCCTGCTCGTTGCTTTCCCTGCTCCTCTGCTGCCTCTGGAAGCTGTTGGATCCCAGGGTGGAGTGGTGCAATAACTCTGGGAAAGGCAGGGGAGTTTTCTGCAGAGTCAGCAGGATGAGGCAACGGGTGGAGGGGCTGAGAGCCAGAGCTTGGGAAGGAGGGTGGGATTGCTGAGAGCAGGCTGGAAGGGGGCAGGTTTCTCCTGCCAGCACATGAGTCAGTCTTGAAGCTTTTGGCCTTTTTTTTCCCCTCCCCTTTGTTTTTTGAATCACTTGCACCTTCTTTTTGTGTCAGAACCTCTTGAGTATCCAGGGAGAGCTGTTTTTTCTGCATGATGGTCCTTGAACCTTGTTTCTGGTTGTGTTTGAGGTTGTCAGCTGTCTGGATTCCTGGGAGGTACCCATGCAGAAGGAACAGGTCCCACCTCCACCTGTAGCAGCTGCACTAAGGACTCATGTTTGTGAGTTTCCTTCTCCTCACTGGAGTTGATGGAGGCAGCAGCCCCTGAGAAACACCAAACCCAGGGCATCTATGTGGAAAAACCCACTGTGCCACATGGAGACCAAGTCAGGAAGGGAGCCACCATGTTTGTCAGGGTGTTTTGTGTCTCTGACAATGAACATGTTTCCCACTTATCCCCAAAAAAACAGGCTCCTTGCTGCAGTTGCCCTTAAAACCTTTCCCTTTGGAGACAAACTCCTGCACCTTCCTGTTTTATTTTCATGTTCCACCTTTTCCATCAAGTCTGTGCTTTAAGGAAGAGAAACTGGGAAGCACAAAAAACCATCTTCTGGTTGTGGTGTAACTTGAATTTCCTCTTGCCAGGTACGTGGAGTTACTGTTTGACTCCCTGTAAGGCTGAGGTATGTGCATCCTGTGCCAACCTGGCAAGCCTGGATCATCACAAGATCTTGTGTTTCAATCCATCTGGTTCCCTCACCATCTTTTGCTGCTTTTCCAAAAGAAACAAAACTTGTGCAACTCTTCCATCTGTCTGGGAGGTGTCTCCAAAATACCCTGAACCTATCAGGCTGGGCAATCTGGCAGAGGGACTGAAGCCATCCCAGGATCCAGGCATTAAAGTGATGTGGAAGGGAGTGAGAAGGGAATGGTGCCCTCCAGTGAAGGAGAAGCTGGAGTTCCAACTAAAGCTGGATTATTCTGCTGGCTTCCCCATGGATCAGTATGGGTTGGGGGTGACCTACTGGAGAGCAGCTCTGGGGAGAAGGACCTCAGGGTCCTGATGGACAACAGGCTGACCATGAGCCAGCCATGTGCCCTGGTGACCAAGAAGGTGACCCGAGGACGTGAAGAAGAGTGTGGGCAGCAGGTCAGGGAGGTTCTCCTGCCCCTCTGCTCTGTCCTGGGGAGGCCTCATCTGGAGAACCTGATCCAGTTCTGGGCTGCCCAGTTCCTGAAGGACAAGGAGCTGCTGGAGAGCCCAGCATAGGGCCCTGAGATGCTGAGGGGGCTGTGAGGAAAGGCTGGGAGAGCTGGGGCTGTTCAGCTGGAGAGGAGGAGGCTGAGGGGGGATCTGCTCAGGGCTGGGCAATATCTGCAGGGGGTGGCAGGAGGGGGCCCAGAGTCTTCTTGGGGGTGCCCAGTGACAGGAGAAGGGGCAATGGGCACAAACTGGAGCACAGGAGATTTAACTTGAACAGGAGAAAATACTTCTTTCCTGTGAGGGTGCCAGAGCCCTGGGCCAGGCTGCCCAGGGAGGTGGAGGCTTCATCTCTGGGGACATTCAAACCCACCTGGATGTGTTCCTGTGGGATCTGCTGTAGGTGACCCAGCTCTGGCAGGGGGGTTGGACTAGATGTTCAGAGGTGCCTTCCAACCCTGACCACTCTGTGTGTGGCTTTCCAAGGTGGGGGTGCAGTGGGGAAGGAAGGGACCTGAGGCAAGAGCTGAGGTGATGACGAGGGGCAGGAGGTGGGTTTGTGGCTGAAGGTGCCAGGTGGGCAGGAAAGCAGGGTCTGAGGAGCAAAGGGTGGAACTGCAGTGAACACCAATGTCAGGAGCTCATCTCATCTACTTCCTGCAGGTCTTTTGTCAGTTAGCTTGAGATGCCTTCCAGCCAAAACCTGAGTCTTATGGGAAATGAGCTTTTCCTCTCTCTCCTGAAGGTGTTCAAGCCCTACCAGGCATCCCAGCATGACATGTGCAGGTTCCACTCCGAGGACTACATCGACTTCCTGCAGCGAGTGAGTCCCAACAACATGCAGGGCTTCACCAAGAGCCTCAATGCCTTCAACGTGGGAGATGACTGGTGAGTGCTCCATGGGCCCACAGCTGGGAAGGGTGATCCTGCACAGAATCATGAAAGCTAAAAGGGACCTCAAAGATCATCCAGCTCCTACCCTGATGTCATGAGCAGGGAACCACTAGACCAGGTTGCACAAACCTCATCCAACTTCGCCTTAAAAACCTCCAGGGCTGGGGCATCAACAACCTCCCTGGGCAGCCCATCCCAGTTCCTCACCACCTTTAGAGTGAATATCGTAATATCTCACCTCAATCTCCCCTCTTCCAGCTGGAAACCCTTCCCCCTCCTCCCATCCCTCCCTGCCCTTGTCCCAAGCCCCTCCCCAGCTTTCCTGGAGCCCCTTCAGGCACTGGAAGGTGCTCTAAGGTCTCCCTGGAGCCTTCTCTAGGCTTCCCTCATGATCCAGGGAGCTCTTTTGGAATGTCCCATTTCCTAGTTGTTTTTAAGCAGGATGAGCTGCCTGTCCCTCCTGTTGCTGGAACCACCTTAATTCCCTTCTCTTTAGGTCTTGCAGTTCTTCTTTGCAGAGCTATATTTAATTTTAAATGTCTATACATGTGTGAGGGCTGAGCATAAAGAATGAGGGGACAACCTCTTGTCACTTGTGCCCTGGGACAGGACAAGGGGCAATGGATTCAAACTGGAGCCCAGGAAGTTCCACCTCAACATGAGGAAGAACTTCTTTGCTGTGAGGGTGCCAGAGCCCTGGGACAGGCTGCCCAGAGAGGCTGTGGAGTCTCCTTCTCTGGAGACTTTCCAGATCTGTCTGGATGCCTTTCTGAGTGACCTGCCCTGGTTTGGTCCTGCTCTGGCAGGGGGGGTTGGACTGGGTGATCTTCAGAGGTCCCTTCCAACCCCTGACATCCTGTGGTTCTGTGGTTTAAGCTGCTTGAGTTCCAGGCTCTATTTCTGCTGCTTCTTGCAGAGCCTCCAGTTCTTCTTCAACATGCTATTTTTTTTCTTAGAATCGTAGAATCCCAGACTGGTTTGGGTTGGGAGGGACGGTAAAGATCATCCAGTCCCATCCCCTGCATGGGCAGGGACACCTCCCACCAGCCCAGGCTGCTCCAAGCCCCATCCAACCTGCCCTTCAACACTGCCAGGGATGGGGCAGCCACAGCTTCCCTGGGCAACCTGGGCCAGGCTCTCACCACCCTCACACTAAAGAATTTCCTCCTCATGTCTCACCTAAATCTCCCCTCTCCCAGCTTGAAACCATTCCCCCTCATCCAGTCACTACACACCCAATTATTTTTAAATAATTGCCAGTCATTTTAGCCACCTTAATATGTGCATGTTAAATCCTAGACAGCTTGGAGAGCCTGATTTTCAGGTAGAACTAAGGAGATATTTGTTCTGTGTGTGCTGTGGAGGGGACAGCTGGACCAGCACAGGGGGAACTACATCAGCTGGGGAGTGTTTTTATCCCAAGCAGGGCTTGGAATAGCCTGGATTTCAGTATTTAGGCTGGGAATCAGAAGGCTGTTCCATGACCTTGCTGCTCTGATGATCAGAAGCCAACACTGGCCCAGGTTGCCCAGGGAAGCTGTGGCTGCCCCATCCCTGGCAGTGTTGAAGGGCAGGTTGGATGGGGCTTGGAGCAGCCTGGGCTGGTGGGAGGTGTCCCTGCCCATGCAGGGGGTGAGACTGGATGATCTTTAAGGTCCCTTCCAACCCAGACCAGTCTGCGATCTTATCAGAAACTGAAGGGGGAAAACACCCACAGTCTTTAAGCTTGTCCCTGTGTGTAACCTGTGCCATGATGCCATCAAGCTGGTGACACAGGGACCCTGTGTCCTGTGAGTCTGCACTGTCCCCCTGCCTGGGTTGGCTCTGCAGGGTGGGATGGAGCAGACCTGCCTCAGGAGCAGTGTCCCTGCAGTGGACAGGGCAGGAGCAGGATCTTGCAGACACAGCCAGGAGCAGAGCTCTTTCCCCTCTCCTGGTGCAGGGTCCCACACTGTGTCCCAGCTCCAGGCCCTTCCACAGGGCTGTGGGACAGACTGGCACACACAAGGGAGCTTTTCAGGGCTACCTGGGAAGCTTTGGTGATGATTATCAAATCCATGGAGTTTCCCATTGTGTTGCAGCTGGATTCACAGAATCACAGAATCCCAGGGGCTGGAAGGGACCTGGAAAGCTCCCCCAGCCCAACCCCCCTGCCAGAGCAGGGGCACCCAGAGCACATCACACAGGATCCAGGGGGGTTGGAATGTCTCCAGAGAAGGAGACTCCACAGCCTCTCTGGGCAGCCTGGCCCAGGGCTCTGGCACTCTCACAGCAAAGAAGTTCTTCCTGAGATTCACATGGAACCTCCTGGGCTCCAGTTTGCACCCAGTGCCCCTTGTCCTGTCACTGGACATCACTGCACAAAGCCTGGCTCTGTCCTCCTGACACTGCCCTGAACAGATTTGTGCCCATGGATGAGGTGGCCCCTCAGTCTCCTCTTCTCCAAGCCCAGCAGACCCAGCTCCCTCAGCCTTTCCTCAGCAGGGAGATGTTCCCCTCCCTCCAGCATCTCTGTGGCTCTGCCCTGGGCTCTTTCCAGCAGTTCCCTGTCCTTCTGGAACTGAGGGGCCCAGAACTGGACACAACATTCCAGATGTGGCCTCCCCAAGGCAGAACAGAGGGGAAGAACCTTCGTTTCCCTAATAACCACCCCCTTTCTAACCCACCCCAGGTGCCATTGGCCTTCTTGGCCACAAGGGCACATTCCTGGTCATGGTCCTCCTGCCCACCAGGACCCCCAGGGCCCTTTCTCCTGCCCTGCTCTCCAGCAGCTCAGCCTCCAACCTGATTGCTCACCTGCTGGTGCTCAGTGTAATCCAAGCAGGGTCAGAGTGATCCCAAATTGACCATTTCATAGAGGATGAGTTTTAATCCTGCTCAGATAACGTCCCTGGACAGTTTTATTCCTGACTTTGGACAGTTTGATTCCTGACTTTGCTCTGGAGAAATGGGAAGTTCTGTGTTGGAATCATGGTCTCTTTTTCAGCCCCGTGTTTCCAGGCCTCTTTGAGTTCTGCTCTCGCTACACCGGGGCCTCCCTGCAGGGGGCAACGCAGCTGAACAACAAGGTAACTGAGCTGATGTTCTGCTGATGCACCAGGCATGAGCCAACTGGTTTTCAGTGGGAGGAGAAACCCATGGATTTGTGGGGTGAAGCAACATGCCAAGCCCTGTGTTGCAGTGGGAATACCTCGTGCTGTGGGCCTGTGAAGCTTGAGATTGTTCCTGTGCTGCCAAAAGCAGCTGTTTAGAAGGTGATGAGTCTTTGGGGAGTCAGAGGACACTGATGCTGCAAATACTGAGGTCACAAAGTCCTCTTGGTGCTGTGGGACAAACCTGGGGTGCTCAGGGGAAACCAGCTGATGGGAGGCCTGGGGAGGGCTGCTGTGGGAAGGCACTAAATAAGTCCTGCAGAAGAGGGTCCTTGGGGGGGGTCTCAAACAAATCTGCAGAGGTTTGAGTCCTCTGGAGACCTGAGAAAGGTCTAATGAGTGTGAAGGACAAGTGCAGGAGCAAACTGTCCGTGCCTGCTGCTGGCTGGAGAGGCAGCAGGGGGGTGGGAGATGATCTTTTCTGGCCTAACAAGGAGTGTAGGACTAATGCGCAGGACTAATCCAGGAAGGACACCATGTCACCTACACTGGTGGCTGGGCAGGGTGGAACTCTGGAAAGCTCTCTGGAGGAGAAGGAAAGGACAGGGAGGTGTTTGTGGGCCACAGGACTGGGCAGGTTGAAGTGTTTGCAAGGTGGTTGTCACCACGTTGTCACCTTAAACTCACTCATCTTTCCTTTCTTAGATCTGTGATATTGCAATAAACTGGGCAGGGGGTCTGCATCATGCCAAGAAGTTTGAGGTAAGGAGGCAGCTCTGAGTGCTCCTGCTCCCTGAGGCCCAGGCTCTGCTGATCCTGCTCTGATGCTCTTGTCTCTGTCCCACAGGCCTCTGGGTTCTGCTATGTCAACGACATCGTGATTGGCATCCTGGAGCTGCTCAAGTAAGGACATGAGGCAGGTGCAGGGCTGTCCTGCCTGGCCTGGGGGTTCCCTCTGCTGCTCTCATCTTGCTTCTCTCTTTTCCCCCATCATTTGATTTTCTGGAGTCCAGGAACACAAACAACCTGGTGTTTGGCCTCTTCCTTCAGGCACAAGGAGGGGATCTGAGAGTTGGAATTCCTGACTGAAGTTTTGTTGCATGCAGTTTCATGGAATCTTGGAATGGTTTGGGTTGGAAGGGACTTAAAGATCACCCAGTCCCACCCCCTGCATGGGCAGGGACACCTCCCACCAGCCCAGGCTGCTCCAAGCCCCATCCAACCTGCCCTTCAACACTGCCAGGGATGGGGCAGCCACAGCTTCCCTGGGAAACCTGGGCCAGGCTCTCACCACCCTCACAGCAAAGAATTTCCTCCTCATGTCTCACTTCAATCTCCCTCTTCCACTTTTCATCCATCCCCCCTTGTCCTCTCCCTCCCTGCCCTTGTCCCAAGCCCCTCCCCAGCTTTCCTGGAGCCCCTTCAGGCA